ATGCGCATGAAAATCGCATTAGATTTTTTGCACAGCCCTATTCTGAATGCAACTTCTTTGATAATTAAATTGCATAATAATTGTAGGTAAACAAAATTGGTAATGTTAATAATTTGCCATTTTAATTAGATAGGGTACAACATGGCTAAAGGTGCCCCGGGGTAAAAGGCGCCTTCGATTTTATTTTCCGCTAAACCACTAGTTGGCAAAAAACTTGGGTGTAGCACTTACCGAAACAATCCGCTTTTCAAGATGCACATCAGACTCCCTGTGCAAACAAAAATTATTACATTATTACAATTAATAGCAAAATGAATGTTTATATATTATACATATACATACATACACATATTATGTCTATATATACACTGTGTGTGTATATATATATATATATATATACACACATATGCAGCACGTGTATAATGTATATGTATGTGTATGTGCTTGTATACACTGTATTATGTAAACAAATGTCTGATCAATATAGCATCCTTCAGCTCCGGGCTTGAATCACAGTGATTTGAATTCTAAACATGTTTGAAAGATTTACATGTTTTTCTGCTTCAGCGGCTTGTGAAGTGTTTACTGGTTTAAATTTCAGCGCAGGCAGCATTGTTGACAAGCTTTGGTGACTTCGAATCAAAAACCTAATCTGGCGAGAGAGCAACAGGCGTGGAAGCTGTACGCTGTCCATATAGCGCACTGGAGCGCCGACAAATATTTGTCCGTTGACCGCTTCAAAGACAGGCCTCCTACAAAGTGTATTGAATGAGGTGGAGACAGAGAGGAGGTTTAAATGTTTACTCCGACATCCATCTGATTGATTTGCAGAGAGCGAGGCCTTTTACAGTCTTTCTGAGAGCCGATACATTGATTCAGTGAAACGGCCCCCTCCGAATTACTGTCTAAAGCGGTCCAGGTTTTTCTCATATGACCACAGCCATCTGATTATTTCCTCTGTATTTAAACTTTATTTGGCATTTTAGTTGTCAAAGGACTGTAACAATTTCAACCTTTGCTGACAGCACAGCTTAAGGAAATGCCATAAGTTTGGTTGCTAACTCCCTGGTTGCTATGATAGAACGCTGAGTATGCAAACAATGTAGCTTTTCATTGGTGGCATATATCACACTGGTGCGATTTGAATGTGAATGATTCAATGTTCATATGTTTTTTTGCTGGGAGCAGAGCTTTACTGCTGACCTTTGACCAGTCCTGCCGCTCTAAATCCAAATCTGATCCATTAGCAAAGCAACTAAACGGCTCTCAGATCAGTATAAAATATATGCAAGCTCCATGAAATTGGTTTCATCTTCATATATGTAGAATATAAACCCTCTCTCTTCAGATCTGGCTTTGTATTTTTAAATATATATTTTAATATATATTTCTTTTTTTCCTTTCATTCAAAATGTGAAAGATTTATTAGTATTACTATTAGTATTATTAAAGCATTTTCACTAGAGGTCTTTTGGACCCCACTGTATTAAATATAATGTGTATCACCACCCACTCACTTACTCATCCACTTTCTCCATATTTCTCTCTGTCTACCGTAAATTAAACTGCTTTTCTCTGACGTATATGCTCCTCATACACACTCACAGTCGTTCACACATGTACCCACACGGATATGTATTTATTTCCTCTTTCCCTGTGACACACATACACATTCGCCCACATAAACACACCTGTTCTCACTCGTTCTCTCTCACACTATGGGAAAGGCAGAATATTATTAATCTTGTTAATATTACTCTTCGCCATGAAAATGAGTTATATTGAGATGCTACGTGTGGGATTGTTATGTGCATGATGTGTGATGTTTTTCTTTTTGATTTAGATTTTTCTCACCAACCTTTTAACTAACAAAAGCACAATATGTTTCATTTTTTTAGAAACAACTTTTTTAATATTTCTAAAATACATTTATATTTTTTTTATTAAATATTTTTGAACAAAGATAACACAAGTTACTACATTTTGCAATCATTTATTAGAAGTGTGGATGTATTTATTCACTCAAAAAAAAATGTTGGGTTAAATACAACCCAGCGCTGGGTAAAAATATGGACAAACCCAGCGATTGGGTTGTTTTGACCCAGCGGTTGGGTTACTGCCCAGAAGGTTGGGTTAAACATTTAAACCAATTGTTGGTTGAAAACAACCCAATCACTGGGTTTGTCCATATTTTACCCAGCATTTTTAGAGTTTAAACAGGAAGATATGCGAACACAGAGTGCAAACTCTAGCAAGGACCAGTAGCATGACAGGTGACGGGTTTGACAGAAAACACATGCTGCGCTTTGTTGACATGTTTGACAAATGACTAACAGAACTATACATTACTGTAATTAATGAATGATGTCTAATAACTGTAAAGTCACTTTTAAAGCCATGTTTTGTTTAAACCACATATTTATTATTTGTCTGTCTATTTTTATGTCATTTGTCTTTAATTTCAACCTTATCTGACTTGGTATTCAGAGCTTTAAAAAAAACGGCAACACTAATTTCAACTTTGATTTCTGTTGTACTAATAAAACTACACATATATAAAGCAACATGAACAAATATAGATACACACTACTAATAAATATATCAGTGATGTACAGTGGTGTTCTGAAATGATTTTTTTTCAATCAAATGTAAATACATGTCACAGTAAAATTGTATTGGTTAAATAAACATTACTTACACTATCAAAAAAAACAATAAATTTTATATTTTTACATTAACAATGCAATATTCTATTTATTAAATACAAGTATGAATCTCATTACCTTGTTTTTTAAGCATTGTAGATTTACAGTATTCCAAAATAATAACTCAATGCAGTAACAATTGAAACAATATATTTTATTTGTGAACTTATGTTCAGTTTTAACTCTTTGGGATCATCATTCATCAAAGCTTGGTAAATAATGGTCACAGAGATTTCACCAAGCTGATTACTCACTAAAAACTCGGACAGATCATGTTTTCAGGCCATTTTAAGTCTTATTTTGTTGTAACCGAGTGGTTATATGTAAGTGTGTGAGTTGTTTACTTACTTTTTTAAAATTAGTCTTCCCATTAACACCATTATACTATTCATTCAGACAGATTCGTGAACACAGAACAGGCACAAACACAAGAGGCAGGATTTATCACATGAACCAATCACAGCCGATCATAACCAGTCATATCTAATCATATCATGATGGAGGCCCCCCACTAAACTCACGGCACACTGTAGAGGGTCTGTTAAAACTCAATGGGCTCAGGGGAAGCGAGAGAGACGCAGACTCCCGCTGAAACTTCACCCACTGGTGTCGCTGTTGGACAAAGTTTCTTTAGAAAAAAATTATTGATTTATACACTTTTTAATGTAATATTTTGTAATATTAGCGTAGTTGTTTGTACTTTGAATTATCTTAAACAAAGCTGAAAATCGTTAAGAAGACCTCTGTCTCAAAATACATGCATTAATTTTATCTATTCTTATTTGCTATACTTAAATCTACAACATTAAAAAAAAACATAAAATATTAGATCAAGTAAGCACAGAATCATCTTTGCACTGCTGCGAGCGATCGCGTCAAGGATCAGACAATTATAGACGTGCATCTTATTATTTTGGAAAGTGCTAAGTCACATTTTTGTGCCATCTAGTGGTTTAGAGGAAAATAATATCAAAGGCACCTTTTGCTTATATATACAGTGGGTACGGAAAGTATTCAGACCCGCTTAAATTTTTCACTCTTTGTTATATTGCAGCCATTTGCTAAAATCATTTAAGTTAATTTTTTTTCCTCATTAATGTACACACAGCACACCATATTGACAGAAAAACACAGAATTGTTGACATTTTTTCAGATTTATTAAAAAAGAAAAACTGAAATATCACATGTTCCTAAGTATTCAGACCCTTTGCTCAGTATTTAGTAGAAGCACCCTTTTGATCTAATACAGCCATGAGTCTGATCTAATATTTTTTAGATTTAAGTAGCAAATAAGAGTAGCTCAAATGAATGCATGTATTTTGAGACAGAGGTCTTCTTAACGATTTTCAGTTTTGTTTAAGATAATTAAAGCAAAGTTTTTAAATAACAAAATAATATGTAAAAGTATGGAATTTGGGGTAAAAAAGCGCCCCTGCTGTTGGGGCTAAAGGCGCACAGTAATTAACATGATAATCAATAGATGGCTGACTTTTCCATTTGTTGACATGACATGGTTAGATTCAGATGGTAAATATCATATATTATGTTGGGTGTCCATGTTAGAGATAATCGCCATGTTTAGAATGAAACCATCATATTTAAAAACATGATATAATAAAATATAATTTGTTGTTACTACTGTAAATTTATATTAAATTATTATGGGATCTCCTTCAGTGCTTTCAGAATCTTTACTTTTTAAAATGATTTTGTTTCTGTATTTTAAAATATATATTTTTTTATATTAACATATTTTAATGACAGTATATTTATTGAAATAAAATGTATTCTTTTATTTTTCAAAATAAGCAGAAAATAGTACAACCTTTGCTAAAGTGATTGTTTTGAACAAGTATTAACTTAGAAATTATTTTAAAAACTATTTGTGTCAACTATTTGTGTCATTACTGTGTGCCTTTTACCCCATGCTGGTGAGCCTTTTACCCCGTGTGTGGGGTAAAAGGCTCCCTTTGCCACCTCATACACTTATAAGATTTTTAAACAAAATATACCACTTGAATGATTTATTTTCACACAAAATCTGTTGCTCCATTAATATTCAATACAAACGATATATATATATATATACATACATACACACACATTTTCTTAAATGTTTGTGCATTTGTGTGTATGTGACAGATAAATACTGCTAATTTGATAAATATCTCATTTAAATGATACTCCCCCACATAAGCTACATTTTCTTAAAAACTTGTAGGGACACTAACTCGTGCAGTCGTGTTACATTAAATTCTTAATATCAATAGTAACGTCTCTTTCTATGTCCGTAGGTACGCTCAGCCGTTCGTAAGCGCTGGCACCGCTGGCAGGATAAGCACTCCATTCGGGCACGGGTGGCACGGGCCATGTCTATACCCACCTCTCCGACACGGGTCAGTTTCCACAGCATCAAGCAGTCGTCGGCCGTCTGACCAGAACAAAAGTGAACCATCAGTCCCCGTTTCTTTTGCTCCCGCTCTTTCCGTCCTCAGCTAACCATCCACATCTGCAAAACCCAGGGATAACAGCTATGGGCCAAACAGGGTATGATCCTCAGCTGAAACATAGATGAAGGGAATGAGGTCCACCTGCCAAACACAGAGGGGAAAAAACTGCTTCAGAATCAGATTAGAGCATCGGTGGTCTCAGACTGCAATGGGAGACCGTGGGAGGAACCTGACACAAACACAAAAAAGGTTGATAAATACTGGCGAGTGTATTTATTCAATAGACAGAGTTATATGTCACATCCTGTTCTCGAGTCTTCTCTCATTGGAGAGCTCAGATTATTCCTAACTATCAGAGTAAGATACTATATAATATACACTACATGGCCAAAAGTATTGCGATTGTTAGCCATACACGTGTCTGAATGGGATCAAATCCATATTCCAACATCTACTGGAAACCTTCCCAGAAGAGTGGAAGCTGTTAGGGAGGATAAACTCTTATAAACTCTTGCCAATAGTTTTGGAATTAATTGCTCAGAAAGAAAATTGTGTGTCCACAAACTTTTGGCCATATAGTGCAATAGTTTTAGGAGTTTTAAAACAAAATGACATAATCATAAAAAAAATAGCAGTTTTCCAATTGGAATCTTCAATCCAATCCAATCTTTGACAGATCTCAATGTGAACTTTCATTATTGTTATTGAGTCTTTTGACTGGATACATTGGGTACAAATGTGTGGCGTTTTCTCCAAGATGTTCAGATTGTGACCCTTATATTTTTTTCTTACTCTTCATTCGCTGCTCTTCATTGCCCACATTGTTGCAGCTAGTAATAGTTTCTGTGAGCAAACTCATTCAACATGGACACTTTTCACTTTGATATGATGAGTACATCTGTTGCTGTGTATATCATGCAGTGCGAAAATTGTAAACAGTTTTTACAAAGATGAAAGGTACATGTTAATGCTCTCTAAGCCTGTTTGCATCCTGGGACTCAAGGATCTATCTAAACCCCGGGGAAAAAGAGGAAGGAAGCTCACAGGAAAGGGAACAACATCATAAAAGACTCTCATGCCTGCTGAGGTAGAAGACAGTACACTCCGATGCTAAACACATAACACAATCTTTTAAATAAGGGGTTTATCACAGAACAAAGAAAGGATTTTGATTTTATCCTGCATTTGGAGCCTCAGCCAAGCGGGCGATTGAATGTATTTCAATTAACCACTCCAGCTCTCCTTTTCATATAAATTCCCAGTTATCAAGCGGTTTTACGAGATGATCATAGTACAAAATACTTGAGAAGTTGGATTCTGGAGACTCCTTCAAAAAAGACTAATTCTAATCACACGTGACTGGAAGTTATTGGTGGTTTTGTTGCCCAAGAGCCTTAGGGATAGTTCATCCAAAAATTACAATTCTGTCATCGATTACTCAGCCTCATGTTTATCTATGACTGTATTTCTTCCAGCAAACACAAAAGGAGAAATTCTGAAGAATGTACACCACCGTTCAAAAGTTTGGGGTCAGTAAGAATTTTTTTTTTTTTTAAGAAACCATACTTTGATGCAGCAAGGATGTATTGAATTCAGACTCCTTTAAGCTATTCATTTGAGAACTGAGTCAGCTATTCATGAGTTGAACTGAATCAGTTTGATTTGTGAACAAGTCTTTCATTCACAGACTGGTTTTGTGAACTTGGTCAGCTGATTCACTAAAAAGATTTGACTCAAAAATGATCTGTTCACAAACATCATGAGGGTGAGTAAATGATGACAGTTTTCATTTTGGGTGAACCATCCTATATTAAAATGTCAGTTATTTATATGAAACAAGGTGCATTTCAATAATTACATTGCTACTGGTTTGGGCAGATATTGGGCAGATATACTGGTAGAGCAGGGAAGTAACCGTGTCATTTGTGGACCACATTTTTTTCTAGTTTCTCTGGACAGATGTTCTGTGCTGAAGTAAATTTGAAAAATTAGATGAATAGTGCACTTTGGTGTTTTCTAGGACCAGCTTCTTCAATCAAATCCCAACAGAATCAGGCCAGAAGAATCACCTCAGCAAAATCTGCTCCTATATCATTAGAGTCAAGAGAGATCTGCATGCATCAAGTAGGGTCATTTAACATCCATCCATATGTTATAACCCTCGCCAAGCTGAGCCACCAATGACCGAGTCCTGTGACCGCTCACTGCTGACTCAGCACAGTAAAGCAGATTTAGCTTTTGTGCTCATACATCCAATCAATCACATCTGATAGGGAGAGCAAGGTTGTTTAAAAAAAAACTGACTCAGGACCTTCATCTATGCCTCTGTGCTCTTCTGACCTTCCTGAAGTACTTGTGCGAGAATCATGTGTAAAGGCTTCAGCAGATTCCACATTCAGTCATGCTTGTTGTGTACGTGTCTAGTAGCACCATATATACAAGTTAGACATCTAGTTGTGTGTATATATAGGATGACTAGCATTGTGAAGTTTGCTAATTACCATATAGCAGTGTGTGTACCTGACACACTGAGGACCAAGCTTGTGTCACTGCTGCTAGTAAACTGAAACGTTTTAGTGTCGCTACCAAGTTTAGGACTAAGGCTTTGTTCGTTTTTTTAATCTATTTTTACATTTCATTTTGCAGTGAAAACTGATCCGTTTGATCTGACAATGTAGTAAACATCCGGATGCCAGAAACTGAGAGCTGGAAAGAGAGGACAGAAGGTAGATTTTTTTTTTTTTTGTCATGACATCTCTCCACTCTGCTGAACTGAATTTAGGTATTCATGCATATTTTGTGTACAAAACCACCTTTTTGTTCACTGTTGAGGAAACAAAAGTGAGGGAGTTTATTCTGACACAGTTCCAAACAATACTGAGCACTTTGTATATTATTATTCAAAAGTTTGTGGTCAGTAAGATATTATTTGAATGAACACTTGTATTCAGCAAGGATGCGTTAAAATGATATTTTTAAATGACATTTTACATCGTTAATAAAAAATGCTGTTCTTTTGAACTTCCTATTCCTCAAAGAATCCTGAAAAAGCAGTACAACGGTTTTTAACATTGATAATGTTAAGAAATGATTTCACAATATTACTGTTTTTAACATCTTTCATAAACATTAAAAATAATCTCACTGACCTCAAATTTTGAACAGTAGTTTTTACATATTGTAGCACCCCAAATAATGATTAAAATATCTAAAATCTGAGATTTAAATTATTTCAGACCACATATGGATGTTGTCTTTGTCTGTGGTTACTTATTATATAAAGCCTATAAAATGGCCTGTCAAAGTTTATCTCAAATTCCAACAGCAAAGGAAGATCAAATTACAAAAATGAAACAAATTCATCAACAAACATTTTCAAACAAGTCTCTCTCACAGCACAATATACCAGTCGACAAAAATATATCAGGAGATAATGTACAGTCAGCCGGTCATTAAGGGGTTTATTTTGAGATAATGACCATCTGCCTGTACATTATTCCACTTATTAGACCGCTGCTTATCATTTAAATGCATAAATGGATATGCAATATTGATTTTATTTGAAATTATTTGATTATGTCAGAAGAAAGAGTCTGCGAAGGTTTTCAGGGACAATGGTTAAACGTGCAGTTTAGCGGTCAGTCTGACTGCGATTGACCAATCAGATTCATGTATCCCAGAAAACCGTGTAATGAAAATAGAGAAACTAAGAATAGCTGGATGCTGAATAGCAAAACTCCTCAGACAGTGATGGATGTGATGTGGACAGAAATGAGAGAAGCATAGGTTACTATTTATGTCGAACAGATCTGTTTGCTGGTGCGTGTGGAATCGTGTCACCTGAGAGATCTGATTTAGCTTCATGGGCCTGAAGACTTTCACAGCACTGCTCAGACACACTCCATCAGTCTTTGCCTCACTATTTATAGCACTTTAATAGTAAACAGCTCAAATGTTCACTTCATATACAAACCTGTGGGGCTACTAGCAAAAAGGCCATTTAGAGACAAAGGTACAGTCTATACAACATTTAAATAATATTACAATATATTATCCTCCTGAAGAGCTAAATTAGTGACATATCTAGTGAATTAGGTGTTAGTTAGAAACATATTCTAGTGCTTACAGTGTCTAACCATACCTAAACCTTTCATATATCACATAAAACAATCATTTATCAATCAGTTCTGGAAAGTAACGCCACGATTTTACTACATTCATTGGCATTAGATGCCAATTCACTCTTAAAAATAAAGATTCCTTATTGGCATCTATGGTTCCATGAGCAACCTTTAACTTGCACGGAACCTTTCAACTTCACAAAAGGTTCTTTATAATGGAAGTGTTCACCAGATTATTCAAATGTTCATCACATTAAGAAAAAAAGGGTTCTTTTAAGAACTGTTCACTGAAAGGTTATTTTGGGAACCCAGAGTCGTTCTTTATGGCCTGATGGTTCAAAACTGACTTTTATGTTTAGGAGTGTAATATGCTCTTTCTCAGAACTGGATATATATCTATCAGGCTGTTCTTTAAAGGTGAAGCGTATACTGTAAATGTGTCCCATTTTAATATGCAGACAACTGTATGTAAGCCATTCGCAGTTTGACTTTTCAAAAAAACTAACAAAAAAATCTAACACTATGGCTTTGTGAACATTGCTCTGTTTGCTTGAGCAGATTTGATTCAACCAATGAATTTCAGGTGCGACTGCCTGGTGTGCTGTTAGTTTTCTAGATAACCAGATTCTTGATTTTCTCTCGGCAAGTGATAAAATGAGTGAAAACCCCGAGCCGTATCTCTTTCGACTTGGGCCAGTAAGCAACAAATTAGCAACCACCCAGGACTCCCTAGCAACCACATAACATTGTGTTTAAAGGAATAGTTCATCCCCCCCAAAAAAGTTTGTTTCTTCATTTAACCAGATTTGGAGAAATTTAACATTACATCACTTGCTCAGCAAATGATCAATTACAAACATGCAG